TTCATGTCATGTGCTCCATCCAAAGCAGATCATTGGCTCCATCCGCATCTAGTGAAAACTAGTGTAATTGGATGAGTCATATAACGCAAACATTCATTGGTTAGTTAAAGGAAATCATCAGAAGAAAGCAGGTGTTCTTCAAACTGCTAACATGAATTATCTATGCCATGCTACAATGTAGGATTCAGAGAAAGATGCTGAAATGTCTGAAAGGTCGGACACAGGCCGAAGAGGTCTTGAGTGAAGAGGTCAAGTTGATACTTCAACTTTTACCAGAGTGTTTTTAAACTGCAGCATCTATACTTCTACTTAACAAATGTGTGTACTTTTCACACCACTGATTATTATTTTGATAGGATGTAGATGTAAAGTTTGGAGTATATTTAATTTTTTCACGGTCTGATAATTTTCCTTTGTAGAAATTTTACAAGGAAATCCTATTGACAATGTAAACGATACTCTTCAGTGCATCTTTATAGCAGCTTTATCCTGGTAGCACCCCTGATCATCGCCATTAATCGCCTTTAATCTTCTCATGTCATTCTCCCTGGAATGAGTATGACCTGGATGACTGAGCAACTCCTAGGGAAAAATCCCACATTAAAAGTACCTTCAGAAATAGGTCTACTATGAAAAATGGTGACTTGTCCAATGCTTATCTCACCCTCTGTATGCATGTTATAGAAAAAATAGCAAAAGACAGACCTATGGAAATAGCAATGTACTGTCCTGATGAACAGAGGCGTCAAACCACTTCTGTCAGCAAGGAAATCCATTTTATTCAATTGTCTCACAGACTGTTGTCTTATTGAAATTCAATAAAAGTTTGCAACTGTGTGTGTTTGTGTGTTTGCGTGTGTGAATGTGTGTGTAGGCAGCTGACCCTGGTGCAAAAAGGGCTACTTTGTGACTCCACAGTGAGACCATTCTTCCCCGCGACATACCACACTCACACACAGCCTTCCTCTCTGGCCTCCCCCCCCTTGCCGTATTTTGTCTCATTCACAAACGCACACAAATACAGAGGGAGCAAGAGAGTCGATTTCAACGTCTCATTCTCCAACAGAAAAGCCCCAGCACAGTCCAGCTTTTTGTTTCTCCCCAACACTCACAAACACAGCGGCAATGTCCGACCACATAATGACCGTTATTCCACCGTCCTGCCTGCCTGTGAGTCACTGTTTCAGTCAGGAGACTGGAATGTCCAGCTCCATCACACCAATACATGCAGATATGCCCTCAAGAAGGAAATCAGCAATAATTGCAAAGAGATGGACATGATAGGGCTTCTGGTAGTGAAAGTTGGCTCGACTATTGGAAAAGGAGATAAAAGATGTTAATAAATCTGACAATATAACACTTTAGGAAGCAAAGCTAATAATATATTTGAGTTTCTGGGTTTTTCAACTGGGCCACACCGTGAAAAGTTTCCATCTATCTGCTTGTTTGAGAATTTTTATTTCTTTTATTTTATTTTAACCAGGTGCAACAGTCCTACTGCAATGGCTGATTGTTGCACTTTGTTTTGCACTGGAAAACCAATCTAGAAATAAGTAATACATTCCTTAAATGCTTTTTCAGAAATCTTACAGTCTGTTTGCCTTGAATTCTGGGTCCTCTGTTCTGAGTCTTGACAGTTATTGATATCGACTTAAATTTGATGGGTGCTGTCCTCCCTGTGTCACTTTACACTGGGGGGTGCATTTTGATATCTGGGGATGTGATCTCCTCTGTGTCGGCCCTGAGTTCTTTGGGGCAGGTCTAAAGCCCCTCACACCTGCTATTGAGTATATCTTCCTGCTGCAGCAGCATTATGAACCTTATATACACCACAGGTGTTAAGAGCCAGGGTTTTGCGGATACACAGTGAGGCTTCATACTAAGATGCAGCTTCTAAAATATATATATTTAAATAATATTGTGTAATATTCCTAGGTTTAGTTTTTGATGTTTCTTCTGTATACATGTCTTTACTGGGTGTTCATGCAATGCTCCCATGTTTGTTGTGGGTGATCTGTGTTTTTTCTCTCTTTTCGTTTCTTACAGTCGTGGAAGCAGACATCTATCAGTTGATCTGCATTTTCTCTGTTTTCTTTGTTTTCTCCTTTACTCTCCTTCCTTTCCTTTCTCTTTGTATCTTTCCCCTTAATTCTCATCCCCTCTCCCTTTCTCAACCCCATTTCCCTCTCAGTGTCCATTGCTTATGATTTTTTTTCCCAAAGCCACTTCCTATAAAGTTTTATACTCAATTACCAAGTTGAATTTAAAGCAATAGCCATGATGGTTCTGATTTCCATGATGGTGTTAGGATTCCAGTTTGTGTGGGTTGTTTTTTGTTTTCTTTTGTTCTCCCTTTCCACCACTAGATGGTGCCCTCTCCTCGTTTGGGCCTCCTCTCACATCTGCGGCTCGTCGGGTCATCACCGGAGGAGTATTTGAGGAGCGGGCTGTCCCTACCTCGACACCAGAGTGTTTTGCTAGTATTGGGTACTCTAGCCAAACTTAGATTAGCTGAGTCTAACAATTGCCTTGTCTTTTGTTCTCCGGTAGGATGCCTTCCTCATCCACTGGATAAACCTGGAACTTCTACTCCCCCTGGAAGGAATTATATGAGTCACACTGAGCAAGGGGAAACCTCCACCAGATCTGTTCAAGCCTTCTTCAGGAAAACCCAGTGTGGGTGAGATCCTTTAAACCCATCATGACAGATGGCTTGTTAAGATGGACAATCTATTTGGCTTTTATCCATCACCGGGACATCAATTGCCAGTGCAATATTGGCAAACAGCACACATAAAAAGAAAGAAAAGGCCAGGGTTAGAGGTGGAACGAGCATCTTCCTTGTAGCTTTGCAGCTCTGTATGTTCATAGATAAAGGCCAGATTGGGGGGAACAACTAATAGTTTACCTGAGGACAGATCCTCCTACATAAGCTGTAAATATGCAGCTCCCCCAGAGCTACTTTAGGCCCCTTGCACACATGTACATGTTTTTGCTGATTTATTAGTGCATTCAGCAGCCGTTCCTTCATATCTCATAAAGTGCCCGCATTGCCACTTCCTCATCCTGCTTGCCATTGTTAACTTTTCTCTTTGATTTGTTAATCATTTTTTCTTTTCTTTTTTTTTACTTTTTTCATATACCATATGGTATTTTTGTGTCATTTCTATAATGTAAGACGAGGAAAAGAGAAAACAATATCGGCCTAAAGAATCGTCCCCCAAAAAATTAACTTAAATATCAGGGATCAGTTTGACTGATGTCAAAATAATCAGCCTTAAAAAAACAGTATTGGTAAATCCCTTGTAATAATAGTCATCTTCTTCCTGACGTGTTGTTTATTTCAGATTTTGAAAACCATAGATGCATCCCTTCAGACTTTTACAGAACCATGTGCAGATTAGACTCTGGTTAATGTGTCTGTAGGCTGAACTGGTGAAACTCTGGTTAAGCAGATGTTTTTTAACGTAGACCACCTCTTGTCCACAATCGACGTTTTTATTCAGTCAGCTCTGTTTAAAGCTTACATTTTATAATGACTCAAATCTGAATCTCAAAACAGGATGTGATTGAAATCTATGTAACTGAACTGAAAGTGATTATGACTGTTGTAACTAAAACCTGTTAAATGACTGCTGTCGGATTTCAGTTGAGGTGATTTACAACTTAATTCTTGATTTCTTTATCAGATATGTGACACACAAACCTTTTCAAGTTTCCTGTATTATCAGTATGTGAAGCAGATGTCTACCAACATAAGGTTGCACATATCAAACCACATCCGAAAACTATGCTTTTTTTCACCCTATATTCTACATTGTTTATCATAAAAATTTAAACAGGTTAAACATTTCAGTTCATGTTTTGAAATATTCAAACCTTCTTTGCCACACAAATCTGCAAATGAGGTAGAAGCAATTGTAATCAAACCCTATTCCAGATTCTGTTATTTTTTTCATTACTGTAGAAATCTCCTCTGATATCAAACATATTTTTATTTGCCCTTCTTTGTTGAGGATTTGTTATTATTAAATAATGATCAAAATGATCTTTAATGGGTTATGGATTTCAGTAGACCCATGGCATCAGTTTATCCTACAAGTCTGACAATGTTTCATAAATAGGCAAAAAAAAAAAAAAAAAAAAAAATTGGGTAAAAATTGTGACACAGCAAAATTCTCTATTTATGTCTGATATCTTAACTTTTTTGTTATAAAAGGTTTATAATATAAATATATATATAAATATTATTTTTAATATTTTGTTTATCGAGAATTGTGTTTTTGTTACATTACGTTTCTTTTCCTCCCAACCTACGTATACACCCTTAATATTTGTAATAATTTATGTTTTTTCTCTCATCTTACCTTTGTGTTCAGAATGTTGTCTGTGTAAGAAAATGAAAATCCAATAAATAAAACAATTGAAAATTTTTTTTTTATAAGAATGTAATATAGCATTTTTTTATCAGTATTAGGGGTTCATTTATTTATCAAAAGGACCTAAAAGATTATTATTACTAGTAAGTCATTGTTGTTTTTTTCATTAATAGTAGTATTCTCTTTAAACTTTTAAAACCTGTTTTTGAGAAACAATATCTTTTGATTTTTTCTTTATTAGAGTAAGGGAAACTAGAGGAGCCAGTATTCTTACAAGACGGGGAGAAAAAAAAACTTTTAGAAGCAAAACATAGGAACCTTTGCCAGGCATTTAAAAAGCCAGAGATTATAACCGGAAGTGAAAGCAGTTATATTTCAAAATTAAGTGGCCGTTGTGCAGGCTCGTAAAACTTAACGTGTAGACTAACAATCATATTACATGGAACGGCATTGTGAATAAATAGGATTCCCAGTCTGATCACTATGTTTAAATAATTTTAAGAGTAATTACATGTAACGAGAAAAGCGGAAACATCACAAGCGACAACCATTAGTCACTTTCGGGCTTTTATTTTTGAGGGTTCATTCCGGAAACGTTTTTTTTTTCCTGTTTTAGTTTTACGTCGAAGCAGTCAGCTAAACTTCAGAATGGAGAAGAGAGGAGGAAAAGCCGTTAGTTGGCACCGTTAGTGGACAGAAAGCCGCACCGTCCATGTCTGTTAAACTAACATCGACCCGCTTATACATAAATAAAAATAACAGACAGTTCGCGATGTCGCGAGAAAACACCACGCGCAGCCTGGACAGCATAGACCTCTCAGCTTTAAGGGTGAGTTTTTAAAACATGTCTCCATTCCTGTAATGCAGAGTAAACACAGCAGGATGCGGTGGGTGTCGCTTGGTAGTTAGCTGTAGTTTCAAACTCCCATCAAGCCAGCAGTCACATGGTTCTGGTTGTTTCTGACCCGGTCCAAACTGAGTGGTTCCCCTTAGAGAGGCTGTGTTCAGCATCTGGGACTTCAGGCTCAGTTTGAGGGGAAAGCTGCTCTGCTTTGTTGAACTGCTGAGGCTGACAGGCAACAAGTGGGTCAAATCAAGTCATGTTGTGACTTCAGCAGGAAATCTTCCCTCAGAGGATAATTAAACATTTTCATTTTCCTAATTGGTCCTGTTAATATGTTTTCTCTCTCTTGTGTCATTTCCTCCAGGATCCAGCAGGCATCTTTGAGCTGGTTGAGGTGGTGGGCAATGGGACCTACGGCCAGGTGTACAAGGTGAGTGGATCTTCTAGAAGAAGCTGTCTCTTCCCTCCTCTGGATGCCATATTTGGTCAGACCGCCACAGGTGTTTTTCCCCATCATTCTTTGCAAAGGGAACTTTATGGAGAACATCCATATAGAGATTTTCTTCAGTTATTTTCCTCTAGTTTGCTCCATCCTGCCTCCCCGCAGCATAATGCTGCCACCTCCGTGGGTCACCACTAGGATGGTCGCAAAAGTTTTGGTTGATTAGACTTTTTTTTTATATTCCCTCCCTGCAATTTTTTTCCACTAATTGAAATGTCTTTAAATCCACATTAACATGAATTCAACATACTGTAGTAAACAGATAAGTGGAAGCAGAAGATGTCTTTCAGTCATCAATGCACACATTCAGTGATACACAGGAGCTCTTTCAAGCTGGGCACCATTTCATTCACAACACCTGTTCCATCAACCGGGAATCAGAAATACTGTAATAATCCATTAATAATAATTAAAGACCCCTGCTCTATATAGAATGTTGGCCTCATTCAGGGAAAAGATGTGTTGCACCACAGAAATGGCGAGTAAAACTGCTCAAGAGTAGTGTTGCGCCGATGCCACTTTTTGGCCCCGATACCCGATACCTGGCTGTGCAGTATTGGCCGATATAAAAATGGGCGAAAAAGTAAAACTGACTGAATAAGCAGCTAAAAACTGATCTAAAGATAAGTTGAAATTCCTTAAATTAAGTGTATTTGCCTTTAATTTGAGCAGGTCAGATGCTCTGTCTGTGGAATAGGTTTTTGGACCTTAAAATAAGATAATCGGACATTATGCACTTGAAATACGATAAAGGAGTTTTTTTTTCTTATTTTAAAAGTAAATGATCTTATGAGCAGATTTTCTTACAGACCAGCTCAAATCCAAAGAAAAAACAAACATTTTAAGCGAATTTGACTTGGCTTATATTCCAGTTTTTGCAGCGTGTACTCTTGGGATCAGTTGCATGCATTCAGTGCAAATAACTCTAAAAGAAGCAATCCCATCATTGCGTATCACTGTGTATGTCAGCCACTGGCAGCTTTGAGTGATGATGAACTTATAGTTTGCACTTTATGACAACATGGCAACTTAAAAAAAAAAAAATGTTACGACAGCTATTTCCAGTTGAAGAAGAAAAAAATGTTTACTGGTACATCCTGTTGGTCAGAGTGCACAGATTCTCAGTCTTCCTCACACACACAGAAGCTTTAAAATGCTCTGGGTGGAGTTCACTTCCTTATCACATCATCTGTTTGTCTAAATGTGAGCGGAGGTTTGCGGACAGAGGTGTTTAGTCATTTTTAGACTCCTGCAGCTGGTTGTGCCCTGTGCTCCGCTGCAGCAGGTGTGTTCTGCTCCTCTCTGGTGAACTTGTTTCAGTTTTAAGCAGCTGAGGTTCTGCGGCGTTCACAGTGATGGTGCAACCGACCAGGGCCATGACCGAGCATTTCTCCTATCTGTTTCTATGCAAAGTTTGGGGCCTGTTGGGATTTTCTCAGAGGTGCGCTTCTCTTGACGAGGTTATTTGTGAGGCCGTTGGTGGGCGTGTGACTCGATTGCCACTCAGTTTCCTGAAAGAGGAAATGTTGCAAAAGATGTGCAGGAAAACAAGGAAGGCTGGTTGAAACCACTGTGCTGTAACATCTGATGCACATGCATTGCCAAAATGAGACGCCAAAGGAGGATGGATGATGATTCAACGCCCCAGAGGCTGGATTTTAACACAGCTTCCTGTGGATGGAGGGCTTCTGAAAACTAGCAGCAAAAGCATGTAGTGTTTTTTGAACGCAACCCTCTAGTACCTGGGAAGTTGGTTTTTAAGTTTGTAAAGTTACTCCCAGCATTAAAATCTCATTGAGAGAGAGATTACTCAAACCAGGGGAAGATGAGAGCATCTTCAAAGCTCATTGTTAGGATTGATCATTTGGTGACATCACTGCAGGTCCAGCTGACCTAAGCAAAGGCTAATGTATGTGGAAAGTACAACTGAACATATATGACGCTCTCGCTGTTTCACTTCCCAAAGTCCTGGCAGTATTGGGAGATATTCATGGCGCCATGATGTCGTAGTACCAAGAAATCTGAATTTATATGTTTATTTTTTTTAGTTTTTATGGCACTAGTGGCTCGTTTTTATGGACAGTAGGCTGACTGGAAAGAGGCAGAGAGACATGCAGGAAACGACTGCAAGCTGGATTAGAACCCAGGTCTCCCACGTCGAATACTGAGGCCTCCATACATGGGTCATGTGCCCTAACCATTGTGCCACCAAAGCATGCCCAAGAAATCTGAATTTAAACTCTTTGGTGACCATTACACCTGAAACATGGCTTGATTCTTTGTTCAAACCAAAAAAAGCCCACAACATTGTGTTCTTCTCCTGGATTTGTGGCCTGGTAGCTAACATTAGACGTGACCAGGGTTGCCAACCGTTCCTTGAAAAACGGAATCGTTCTGTATTTAGAAATAGAAGTACCTGTCCCGTATTTAGTGCAAAAAGAACACACTTTGTCGCGTATTACTGTGAGAGTACCGTAAAGAAAATAGTCAGTAAAAAGCTCATGGAAAATGAAGAACAAGGGCACATCTCAGGGAGTTGGAGTTGGCAACCCTAGCCGCAATTGCGTAAATATCGGTAAGCAGAGACAGCAGTTGCTTACGGGCCCATGACCGCTTAGGGGCCCCATCACTGAAACCTGGTGGGTCCCCTACACAATTGTGGACTAGGACGTCTCTTTGTAGATGTAATGATGCGAAAAATTCCTCTTAGACCCACCTGATGCTGTATTTATACCGCAACACATGGTGAGCCGTTTAAACATGATACCAATAGCAAAGCAGACACTGGTACTTTTAATTACTATTTTAATAATGGTCTGTAGTTCATTAGACTGTTGGTAAAAAATAAACCCATATAATATGTTTCAAACCGCAATAATGATCTTAAAAGAACAATGTATTTGAGTGTTTTATTTTTTACACTACGACTTGGAATTATGGGTAATCCAGAGCGTAGATTAAAACCATAACTGTTACGTACAATGTGTTAGCGATGATGGATACCAAAAAGAGGTACTTAAGAAAAGAAAAAGGAAATAATTGCTGCTGGAAGATAAGCACTTGGGATGTTCTGTAACATGTGATGGTGCACTGTCACCAATGGTTCCATTCAAGGTACACAGTCAGTATTTTTCCATGTGTCATGTGTGATCATATACTACTGAGAATTGCGTAATTGTATCTTCTTGGCCGATTTAGGGAACTGTGGCCGTATCCTGAACCTTCATCATGTGTTATACTTCATATGCAGAGATGGCAAAAGTACTCACTTTCCGTACTTGAGTAAAAGTACAGATACTTGTGTTAAAAAATACTCTGGTAAAAGTGGAAGTATTGATTAAACTTCTTTACTCAAGTAAAAGTAACAAAGTACAGGCTTGTAAATTTACTTAAAGTATAAAAGTAAAAGTAGAAACCACTTTTTTCTTGCCGTTGCCTACATTTTAAATGGATGTCTGCCAATAGGACTAGATCTCCGTTGGGTTCATTTTCAATCATCTCGTCGTCCATGCTACTATGCTAACGCCACCGCCACCAAGCTGCAATGATTTGCCGCGAATGAATACCGCCGAATTTTTTCGATTCATCTTGTAGTGGTGCGTCAAATGCAACGTAGATTCCCATCCAATTAGATTGAATTTGGTATTTGTGAGAAAACGGCTCGCCAGCTCCCGTCTCACGTCAGAGGAGAAGTAAGCAGATGACTTGCAAAAAGGTGGTAAGAACCAGCGGACAACAAAATTCCAGTTAAAAAGCGTGTAGCGGTTTATTTACTGGTGCAACGGTGAAAAAAAAACAAAACAAAAAAAAAACAAAAAAAAAAACAAACAAAATACTTTCAAATAAAGAAAACAAAACCGACCATTGCAGGCCATACAAAACACTGACAGCCTCACAGCAAGCTGACTTTAAATATAGTCTCTCTAAGCAGACCTTCCAAAGCAGTTTCTCCAACCAGTCTCTCCAAGCAGCCCTGCTAAGCCATTGTGAGTGTGCCCCTTAAATAGACCCACCAATAACCAGCTAATTGGGACAGCCCAACTAAACAGGAAGGCAAATCCCCAATAAATCACAGTTAACATTGTAGAAAAATAAATACAGACAATAGCATTATTCATACAAAAACATACATATTAATGAAATAATTTAACCATACTAACATTACCATTTCACCTACTTATTACCATGCAAACAATTATTACATACATTGAAATCCCACTTAACACCCCTGCCCCCTAATAGTCTTTTCCAATGCCCTGGGACAATGGATAAGAGACTGGCTCCGATGCGGTACGTGTTTCCACACGGACCAGTATGCTGACGGACCAAGGGCGAGAATGTGTAATTTGACTGGGAAGTTTTATTGCCCACTACGGAATGTATATTAAAGCTGTCGCAGTGGGTACCTTCAGAGTTTGCTACGCTGGTGAATAAGTAAAGTGTTGAATGAAAGGCGACGTTGTAATTTCGGAACTGGTGTAAATTACCGGGTGAATTGTTTGGAACTGCCGCCGCCATGACGGCCAGTCTGTGGTGCATGCTGGGAAATGTAGTGAAGGATGTGACGCTGTGTGTGATAGACGGCGGTTATACTTTGGGAACAGAGGGGGAAAACTGCTCCGTTTTCACAGTATTGATGACGTGAAAAATAATAACGGTAACTCCATTGAAATGATTCAAAACTAAAGTAACGAGCCAAATTCTTTTAATGTAAGGAGTAGAAAGTACAGAGATTTGTGTAAAAATGTAAGGAGTAGAAGTAAAAAGTCGCCATAAAAATAAGTAGTAAAGTAAAGTAAAAATATCAGAAAAATCTACTTGAGTACAGTAACGAAGTATTTGTACTTCGTTACTTCCCATCTCTGTTCATATGAGGCCCACCCAGATAATGTTGCTTACGGGCCTATTGTTTTCTTGTTGTGCCATTG